GACGCGGCGCTCTGAGGCCCGCGGCAGCGCGACTCATAGCAGTCGCCAGCCACTGCCCTTGGCGCGCCGCGGAGAGCCCCGCGGCGCGCCCTGCAGTCTCGCATTTTCTTGGATCGCAGCCTTGTCAGGCCGAGGGGTGTATCCGACTTGGAAATCATCGTCTTCGCGTCATCGGTCTCATTGGCGCGTTCGCCGCCTCCGCGCTCCCCTCCGTCCTCGCCTTCTTCGCCTTCCTCGCTTCTCTCGCAAGCCTTTCCATCGCCACGACCCCTGAAGTCCTCGCCGTCATCACCATCCTCATCCTTTCCACCGTCGACGCGGTCTAACATCCACGCCATTCCCGCCAGGCTCACCACCCCCGCCGCCCTCGCCATCTTCACGACTCCTATCATCGTCGCACTCCCGCTCCCCCCATCATCCTCCCCATCCTCGACAGTCTCACCATCGCCGCCGTGCCCGCGCCCCCGCCGCCTCCGCCGCCCTCGCCGTCGCAAGTTTCGGGGTTCGTTCCTTTTCACTGTCTTTCGCAATGGCACCATTCGAGCTTGCTCAAACGTTGTGTTTTTCGTCTTGAGGGTTTAGGGTATAGGGTTTAGGGTTTAGGGCCTGCGTTGGTGAAAGCGCGCGCTGGCTGCGATCCCCCCCTCATCAAGATTGTTGGGGGGGGGGGGGGATCGCTGCCTTGGTTGCGCGCGCTCCGAGCTTTGCGTCCCCGCCCCGAACCACCCGAGGCTAAGCCTTTTAGGCTTTAGGGTTTCTCCCCCCGACCCCCTATCAAGTGGGGCTTTCGTGACATATTGCGCAGTGGGAACAGTGGTCGGGTGTATGACGCTGCGTTGAATAATGTATCGATTGTGAATGGTTTTCAACATTTGGGGAGCAATCGTACCTGCGAGTAAGGGGAAACTAACGCATTTTTTTTTTGGGGGGGTCCCGCAAGGGCCAAAACTGGCGCGCAACAGGGAGGAAATGGGGCGGTGGGGGGCACGCCCGTGCAAAATGCGTTGCGAAGCGATCAGGTTTGTATATTTGAACATGACGGAGGAGTACTTTTGTTTGTATTTAACCTGAGTACCAGCGCGTGCAGCTCCCCTCCTGAGCTCTGAATCAGGGGAGACTAACGCATTTGTTTTGGAGGTTTCGGGGGAGGGATCTGTGTCCGCCTGTGTTAAAAAAGGCAAGAAGCCG